TAACATGTTTGGATGTGGGCATTTCGCAATGGAATGATTTATAATCCGGGCGAAGAGATGAGCTTATTTTACCAATTGAGTCGAGTTCATGACACCTGCATGCAGCTGGGCACAGAAAAATATTATGTCCATAGTCTGGACTCTAGACAAATGCCATAATTTTCACATTATTAAAATAATAAAGACCGACATTATCATGATGTGTCAAAAGATCGAATTTCATTTCAATAAATGCGTTTCATTCATTCCATCAAAATTAATTGAACGACATTTTGGATTGATGAAAACAATTAAGTGGAAATAATTACCTGGTGTTTGGTCGTCTTTTTATCATTTATTGTTTTCATCATGTCTGTGACTCGTTTAAATCGAAACAAAACCATTATCATAACAGACATTTTATGTTTTCATTACCATTCGCTGTAATTTCTGTACAAAAATAGAGCTTGATTCGAAGCAACAACAAAAGAAAAAAAACGAGAGGTAAATGACGAACTAGAAAATTGCGTTTATGAATATTTAAATAAAGTGTATTGTGGTAATTCATCTTTTATTGTTGATGAAATTGGTTGACTTTGAGGTGTAAAATCATGTGACGTGACAAATTACAGTGTACCATGTCATGGAATTTTCATTTTCTCACACTGAATATCTCTAAACCACATCATGCAATGGCTTGAGTTGTTGCAACTGTCGTTTGTTTGACACCATGCAATTCGTTCTAATTATAATTTTAATCGTGTCGGTTGAAGTCGTAAAGTACATAAAACATGCTACCGTATATACACTTTCAGAAAACACTCTCATACACACCAACAACACCCACAAACCGTACATACTCTCTTCCAATTCCATTACATCAAATGCTGAACAGTTCAAAGTAAACGTGATACATTGGTCGTGTTTTTCGTTTTATTTTTGTTTTTGAAATTTTGTTCTTTTCGCTGTCAAAGGAATACAATTTGAATTGCCAGTTGTTGACTTTGGTGGATTTTATCCGACAAACGACATATTTTCTCTCATGATTATTATCCGCAACTCAGTTGCAGCAATTTCTCATTTGTGTTCACTTTAATGAGGTAATTTGGTATTCCATCTTGTTTTCAGATTCAATACAATAAACCAAATAACATTCGGATAGAATGCAACTCATCATCAGCGCAAACTTATTGCGAAACTAGATATTTCAATATATATACATGACATCTATGAATGCAAGCACCTTTGAAATTTCACTCCATGAAAAACAATGGTTTTAATTAACGGAATCAAGTGCATCCGTTTCGCACGAACATAATTATATCGAAAGTAAAGTACGTTGCACCGGAAAATGTGCACAGAAAGTTTAAATAGTTTTTCACTTCGAATTGCAAAGTTTTCCACGTCGATCGTGTATTTGGACGATTCGTCTCTATTCATTTAACTTTTTTTCTTTCGCTCAGTTTCAGTCGACTGGTATAATTAAGTATTGGTTCCTTTGTTGTTTCAACTTGGCACTTTTACCAGAGGCGTAATGAGATATTCATTGCCGTATAAATGCACAAATATTTGCCACATGTCATTTGCACTATAAATTGACACAGTCACATACCACGATATGCCAAGGCAGACTTTCTGTGCCCATCCGCAATAAAATCAATAAATGATCAGTGTAAATACCAAGGCAACCATACGTTCAAGGGGTCTGATTACCTCCCTTCTGACGATGTGATACACCCGACATTGAAGATCTGTTTTTTTTTTGTTCCGAAATGGAGCTTACACTAGATTTTTAAATTAAATTCCCCTCCTCGTATTTCAATGTTTGCACTACATAGAATGAAAAATGCTTACCCCACTCGTTACCTCCATCTAAAATCTTTAAAATCAAAATTATGGCTTCAATGGTTATGAATTGAAAAATCTGTTCTACAGCATCAAAGTATTGATGAATATTAATGCCTTTCGTAACAGTCACTCTAGAAACTGTTGAGTTAGTGTACAAAATTAACATGTCCATTCATTTCTGCACAGAATGTGACAAGTGATAATATGCATAATGGATGACATCAAGTTGAATCGTCAGATAAGTTTACCGTCAGTTTTTCCCACAGCTATTGTATGATGTTTATCTCATTTAATGTGATTATAGACTGTCATTTGCAACACAAATTAATCGCATTGATTAAATTATCGATTTTTGCACATAACCATATGACATATTCTATTATATATTCGGCTTGGTGTTGTCAATTCTCGAATGAACGATTTATCGGGAAAATTTTCTGATTTCAGTCGGGCCAATTTTTTCGACCGTTATGAAACGATCGTTTTTGACCACAGGCACAATTATAAATCAAAAGAAATCTCTTATATTTTCTGAAGTTGTTATCAATATAATTTTATTAAGAAATGCACTAGATAAAAGAAGAATTTTGTAAAAAATGCAATAAACGAATAAAAGGAGATATCATAAAAAAGCAACAAATCATTGAAATAATTTACATATTTTGAAAAGTATTCTATTTCAATGATTTGTGCCTTTTTACTAGCTTTTTTATTATTACCTTTGACTTCTGAATATTCGAAATTCACAATATACAATACAGTGAATCTAATTTTTTTGATAGACAAAATAGCAAGCAAAGTAAGCAGAGAAACTCTCCACTAACATAGGATTCATATGCGAATGGCGTGTGAGTGGAGTGTGTCATGCAAAATTTTGTGTACCAAAAATATTAGATTCACTGTAGTCTTTCCAAATTTGAAACATTTCGATTTTAACACTTTATATTAATCTTTCGACCTGGCATCCAATATCAAACGTATTTAAATTTTAATATGAATGCTGCAGTTTTAATATCATCATCATTCGTGCTGCAAATGCATTCATCTTTGATTTCGTGACTCGTTATGAATGACGTAATCGCACAGGTTGAATGGGGTTAGGTATGAAGAGACCAAAAATGATTATGATATTTTGCTTCCGTACAAATGATTTAAATGATTTGCCAAATGTTTCAAATGGCACGCTGTGTACTTTGTACGTAAATATCGCTGAATGCATATTGCGAATACAGTAATACACATTGAATGTTTTGATATTATCAGCATTTCAACAGACGAAAGCTAATTTAAATTACAAACATCTATCAAGTTCACGTGCTGAGCAAATGCAATGAGGTCGGACGATCATACTCGATTCATAATGCAAAATAGATTGAATTTCACCTGAAAAAGCCAGCACGAAATCATACATACAGACATGCTTAAAGTGAAGGAGAGACAGTGCACTCGCAGTATTCGCAATGAATGAAGTAATTATCTTCTGGGAGATGCATTCGTGCGGGCATTACGACCCCATTTTCTCGAAAAAGTTCGCATAACAGAAACTAACGCCGCACAGACATGAAATGAACGTCAGAATCAAAATCACTCTTCTACCTACCTCATTCTCTTCTCTTTTCCTCTCTCTTTATGCTTCTGAAAAACAATAACAATTTGAATTCAAGCTAATTGTTACGGTTTTGAGTACAATGAGGCAAAGAGCACATCAACGAACAACTAGAACACTTACCAACAACTGAGCAATTCGGAAATATGAAAATCGCTTTGCATTAAGCAAAAACTATCAAACTTTAAAATTTTACAATGTTGTTCAATATTGCCTTGCGTCTACAATTCACGTTATATTTGCATTATAAGAAAAATAAGAAAGGAAGAGATGTAAAACAATCATTCTGATACAGGATTCATCAAACATTATAATTTTCCTAATTATCTTTCATCTTATTAGTTACCATAACTGATAAATATTGTAAAAAAGGATATGATTTTATCGAACTCACTAATAGCTTTTTAATTCTCTCGTTTCAAAGTTAACTTTGAATAGCATAAAAACTTACCAGAAAAATCACTCGAAATGCCGCTTAATGTATTCAATAATTTAACACCGGAAAATAAATTCATATCGAAACTTTAAGCTTCGAAGATAAAAAATCATCGTTAACTCTAGAGAGTTTGTTGACATGTGTCATATCAATCTTGGTTAGTTTAATCTATTTTTTACTGAGTGTCAACATTTGGAAAGTCCAAATTGATAGTGTACGATAATTGAAAATCAATTAAGAATTACTTCAAATATAAAAAGCAAAATGAATAAAATATTTCGACGTATATAAAGGCACGGTTACTTTTATTGCTTTACAAATCTTGACAATATGCATTTCCATTTGCTAAATTGACTGCTCGAACTTTCAGTTCATATGAAATCATTTATAATGTGTTATGTAAACCAGTGATGGTTTTTTGTTGTCTGAATAGCGCTAGAACGCATCGAATCAGCATCTGGACAGCGCTATCCAATTGTTCCAAATTGATCAGAAATATCGACTCTATTTCCTAATAGAGATGCATGCCAAGTGCACGAATAATTCAAATCTACTAGACTAAAATAGTTGAGTGCATGTAAAGCCTTCGTTAATTATGTTTGCACATAGATTTATAATTAATTTTTATCAAACAGTAAGTAAATATAGAAAATGGCATTGAAAATTAACGCTCAGTGGTGATGTAGATCCATAGATTATTAAATAGTAAAATGAACATAAAGTTGAAATTTGATAACAAAATTCACGTTTGCTTCATTAATAATCTATGTTGATTCAATGGATTATATGTCAACGGCATTTTCACGCCGACTACATACAGTTAGTGGCTAGCAAATTTTATCTAACATAAAATCCCATATAATTTGGAGACGAACACATAAATCAGTAGTGAATATAATAAAAAACGAGAAAAAACTCGTTTGGGGATACATTTCATTTGAAAATAACCGATGATAAACAGGTAATATTACAGAAAATAAATAAAAATTCACAATTTCTCATTCAAGCTATCTACAATCGAAAAGTGCATTATAATTTAAGAAAAATCGTACGCAAATGCTTTTTATATAGTCAACAGAAAGCATGTAATCTATTTTAAGGGGACTAAATTAAATTATACATTGTTTCAAATGTGTTGCATCAAATTTGTTGTAGAATGAACTTTATTTCATCGAATAGTGTTTGGTTTTCACAATTGTTTACTCAAGTGTAATCAAAATTGACGTAAGCGTATACTTTTTTACCGACTCGTTCATTCTTTTGTGCTGGGCTTCAAACAACTGTTGGAGAAAAATAAAGAGATATGTGTGTTGGAAGTTCGCTGCTAAAATGACTTAAACTTGTTAGTTAATTTATTGAATAATACTTTTTGAAACTAGGAAGGAAATTCTTTTTCTTTTTCCCATCGTTTTTCGATGTTGCTTTTAGCGGTGCATTCGGGGATGCTTCTGACGATATTTTGAGCTTTATCATTCTGTGCATCTCCGCCATTGGTGACTCAAAAGCGGTTTTCGGCGAACTAAAATCAAAGTAAATACAATGATACTTTCATCTAAACAACACACATTAATTCATTCCCAAAATATTCTATCATATAAAGTGAATATCAATTCATCTTTTATATATATATTACCCCGCTGCTTCATATTCTTCTTTTGTAAACGCGCGAAAGTAGTCCCGACGAGTTTTCTCAAGAGCGTTTGGATCGCTATTCTTTGGAGTAACGCCCATAAAAATGTGCGATATAAAACAAAAAAGTAATGCGAAAATCAAATATATCTTCATCTTTTGGTCGTTCAAAAAACTCAAGTGACTTGAAATGAGAATTTGGACATCATTTTATATTCACCGATCTTTTCTCGATACATTTTGTATTGTGCAATTGTCAGTACAAAAAATGATCTCTACGACAATTTGAATCTTATCCATATTTATGAAGAAATTCTCGATTTAACTCGTAACGGTTGGTAATTCATAATATTAATTTATGAATTACCACCAAAATGTATTCTTGTGCGAAAATGTTGGCGTTTGAAAAAATGACGGGCATGCATTTTGAGCGCTCTCATCTTACCTTGAATAACTCAAATTAAAAATTACTCTTACTTAATAGGGTTAGGCAAATATCTAAATATATTAGAATTACGATAAGGACTTGGAATTTTTTAATATTTTTTGCGATCATCTTTGATACCAGCTGTCACAAAAAACACTTGTTTTATAATTAATACGAACACAAAAACCTTCATCATGAATGTTCAAATTTTATTCAATTCGTTCAAAATCAAATTTTATTCTCATTCAAAATCCAAGGTAATATTTGTGACAAAAAAATCTTATAATAACTGCTTCAGTAATGACTGAGAAATCGCAAACAGATAGCATTACAATTCAACCGAAATATAATTCATATTAGAAGACATTTTAGGTCTTAACATGTGTAAATAATTGAATTGTATTTGAAAAAAGTTGCAACTTTCATGCTTTTATTTTCTATTATTGTACCATTTACGAGGGCGCCATTCATGAGATTTCTTCTTTTCCTCAAGCTACAACGGGTTATCCTCTTTAATAAATCCTAGTCTTAAATAAGTAGCACGTGTGAATTGCTAAAAATAATAAAGACAATATTTTGATTAAAATAATTGTGAATGCTGCAATATTTTGAGTCACCTGAATCAGCTAAGCTGCGTTTCAGACGCTGAAATGGAGTGAAAATAATAGAAGTTATTGTTATAGTGATGGATATAATATAACTAATTTTAACTATAACAAACACTTCTGTTGTTGTCATTCCATTTCGGCACCTGACGTTAGCTTTTCGAACTAATTCAACTGGTTCAAAATATCTCTCAATATAATATTTGACAATATCCATTTTTTCACAACTAATTTCACACTTACTACTGGATCATTGATGAAATCCATATAAGCAGGAATTAGGGTCATGATATCATATAAATATTCAGGTTCATTCATACCCCAAGAGACGATCCCCAGCAGTTTATTGTCTCTAGTTAAAACCGGTCCCCCCGAATCCCCTTTCAATAAAAAGACAATAATAATTTTTCAAAATTACACATTAAACTCCAAATAAAAATATTCACCCATATTTATGATTGGTTTTCCGTCGTTCGAACTGACGCAAAATTGTTCTTTGTCGTCAACGAACAAGGCAGAATTAAAATCCGAATTTTTCTGTCGAGATGTTTGAAAATCCGCGATTGTTGAATTAACATACCGTAAATTTGAAGGAAAATAAGAGGGTGTAGTCTCTTCGTTCAGTTGCGTGTATCCCAATATGCTCACAGATTCACCTACTTTTGGTATGTAACCTCTTTCAACTAAATTTATTTTTCCGATTTTCTGGCCAAATGGTATCTTTTTCTTTAGCAAAATTACAGCAATGTCATTCTGCAGATATCGATAAATACTATATTCTGGATGCAAAAAGATCTCTTCTTTTATGATAACGTCATGGATGTAAAGAGGTTCATCGTGATTTAGCGAACCGAATTTCAAAGTAATGTTGAGATATGTGCCGGAAACACAATGTGCGGCCGTTACCACTTTATATGGATCAATAATCACGCCAACGCATTGTCCAGCCCCCATTGTTTGGCTACCATTAACGATACGTACCTCTTCGTTATATATTCCGACCATATAGTTGTGATCCTCAATTCTTTCGGCTAAGTTTCCACGAATCGCTTCCACGTAAAATCCAACTGTGCATAAATGTTCATTCAAGTGAAAGTGTTACTCATGAGAATTACTTTTTTTAAACAGTTACCTTTTCCATTTCCTTGAAATTCCTAAGAAAAACGAAAATAATTTAATATTGTAATAAAAAAATAAGAACCAAAGTTAATCATACACTTACGTTAAATAAAGCTATGAATAATAAAGAAAACCACACGTTGAATGAATTCATTGTCTTCAAGCAAATCAACCAAAATAAAATATAAACTTTTCAAAAATTGATCAGTTGGTTAAATGAAATAAGTTTTTCGTTGCTGTTAAATAGGGACAAAATGAGTGTTTATTTCCAAGAACAAGATCATACGATTTTTTTTAAATTAAGACAATGAACTGGTGAGAATGAAAATAAATAATTTAAAAAATATCCTATAAATAATCATGAAAGGCGTCTTTAAGATTTAGATACATAATTACTCTGAGAAAACATTTATGGTGATCTATAATTGTGACATTCTATTTTATTCAAATTACAAACTGTCCGCTTTGCATGGTACATTTTGTAAGTTTGACCAAATCTTAAACGTTCAAAAATAGGTGTTCCATTTTCATTTTTAACAATTCATATTTTATTTGAACAAGTGTGACCTAATACAATCGAGTCAAGTTATTCGACATAATATAATCCATGTAGATACAACGTGCTCTGAGATCATTTTTTGTAATTCTGCGAATTTTTAGTGCGTTTCACAATTTTTCCAATTTTTTGTGTAACAATGGAATACGTGATCATTATCGATGGAATAAAAATTCCATATAAAAATGGAAAGGTCGTGAAAGGCTAAAAACAATAATCCAGACACGTGCAAACCTAAACTACGTGCTCAGTATTATACGAATACAATCACAATATTTGGAAATATATGACAGAATAATATTAAAAAATATCAAATGTCAAATATGATTATTATTTTTTCAGTGTTTTCTTAAAGAGAAGCCCTACTGAAGGCAAAACAATTTGAATGGCCAAAAATAAAATCTTTGCTCTTCCAAACTGGGCTCTTTCGCTTTCGACCTTAAAAATTCACACATAGAGTAAAGTGGAATTAAGAATTTTTAAACGAAAAACCAAAATGAATTCATTTTTTCTATCTATTTATTTATTGAATCTATTTATTTTCCATTTGAATGGTGTAATTTCAGCTATTGTTTTGGTCCTCACTTCCAAAATATTATGGCGAAACTAATTTTTGCTCTTCCAATGAATATGAATAAAAAACATATAGTTGATGTTTCATATATGCGTCCCACCAAATAATAGGTTTAATATGATTTCAATGTATGCAACAATGGTATGAAAATAAAATGTTTGTTGTAAAAAAGTGAATCAATTTTGCTTTTATACATTCTATTTTATGAAACAACATGTTTTCATTGACTTCACCATCTGACCTATATATGAACCGCTTAGAATAAAAGTAGATAATGGTAGAAAGTTAAAAAAAAATCTCAATCATAAAGTGTTATGAAAATAATACTCAATCAAGGAAAAAAGTGAAAATAAAACTCGATCAATAAAAAAATTGAAAATAAAAGTCAAACACAATTTATGATCGATTTTTATTTTCACTTTTTTTCTTGATTGAGTATTATTATAACTCAATTTATGATTGAGATTTATTTAATTAATAAAAAATGATCGCCATTGCTACATAATTTTTTTTTTTTCAAAATTAAGTGTAGAGAAAGTGTAGGTAAGTGAACAACATTTTGTTTCGAAGTGTACCTGGAATTTTTTAGTGATTAAAGATTAAAATAGAAAAATAATTCAAATAAAATCAAATGAAAAATTTGTTAAAATTAAATGTGAAAGATTACATTTTTAATACAAACAAGACCGCGTCGTTATGTCTGATTTTTTGTACTTCTGAGTTAATTAAAGTTCATTAAAAAATATTCAATAATATTAAAATCTAAAAACAAGTGAAAATAAATTATATAAAATAAAAACAAAAATAATGAACAGGTGTAAAAAATAGAAATGTTATTATATTTATTTTATTTTTTTATCTTTTTTGTTCATATTCATATTCTCTTTTTATATTTCTAAATAAATAAATATCGTACAAAATGTAATACAAAAAGTGTCAAGTGTAGTTTTCGTAAAAGGAATTTGCAAGTTTTCCATGTGTCCCACCTGTCAAAACGCTGTCGTCGACTTGTTCGATAGATTCGGTCCCCGTGACAATTTTAGACGGATTGTCAACTAGTTCCGAATTTTAGATGACATGTCATCTAGTTTTCATTACATATTTTTCTGTGTGTGTGCTGTGCATATATGCCAATCCAGGCAATTGCAAACGGTATTTGATCGCTCAAAAATGTTCAGCTCAACCAAGCGTGTATGTTTTGATCGCAAAAACATGAAGTTGATTCGAATAAATTCATATACAATTATTTTGTTGACAAATCTAAACAGTCATATGAAAAAATAGGATTTTGAAGCTACATAAAATATCTCAGTGAACAAAAATATTTACATTCAAATTCAACTCGACATCCGTGGCGCCATCGCATAAAATCGTTTTGTTCTTCACAAATACATTTTGGTGAAAATCAGAAGATAACTATGCTGTATAAAATGTCGAATAATCCGATTAGCAGCTCAAGATAAACATTGAAGAGCATAAAAACGTTAAAAGTCACCCGGACGCAGTAAGTATCATTGTGTAAAACGATCTTAAAATCATTCAAACAAATTATTGAGTGCATCGCATAAAGAGGGATTATCATTTGCATGCAATGATAGATAACATGCGAAACGGATTGTCAGTTTCAAATTCAAATTCAATGTTATTGCATTTGATTATGTGATTCTGTTGGCGAGTTCTTAATGAAAGCAAAACGGAAAATCTATCCATTTTTTCGAACAAAACATTCAACGAACGAAAAATGTGAATTTTGCAAAACTAAAAACAACTTTGCGGAAGAACTTTTCCAATTATTTTTGCATGCGTGCAAAAGATTAAGAGTAAAAGAATATAGTTGGCTGAAGAGGAAGCGTGTCAAGTGAAATGAAAACGAATGAATTTTTCCGCATCACGCCACCCCTTGTTCTCATAATCAATAATAAATCCGCCTTTTATTTCAGCATTTATCGCTGCTGCTGACATTTGTCAAAGTGCTGGCACTCATGAATCATCATCTTTTGGATTGCATTTCTTATCTGTCACGTCCATGGATGGGAGAGGAAGTTTCAATTGTGAGTGGCCGCGTCAGTAAAAAAATTCAATTTAAAATTTTCAGTCGTAAACTTTTTCCCTTGTGCTATGGGAACCATAAAAGGAAATCAACCGACAACTTTGATAGAATGCAGTGCCAATGATAATAATAAAAAAACAACAACAAGCGAAACTCGTGGAATTGTGTGCTAGCTAACTCACAGCGTAGTGGAACAATTGCTTTTGTATTTGGGATTAAATTTGCTTATCGAGACTGGAATATTGCATGGTTGAACGTGCGCCAACGTCAATGATTGATTCCATTTGTCGGCCCAAGTATACTCACTCTTTGCAATCATCTTCACTTTCAATGGCACCCATTATTATCTTCTCTTCTCACAATTTTCAATTTCTAAATAATTGTGTATATTTGAAGCGATGGCATTTCATTCGATTTAATGCGATAATGGCGAAAATCACATTTCAACCAAAATCCCTATAGATAATTTTCTAGAGTCCTTTTGTTGCTTGAAGTACCAACATTTGAACCAACAAAATGGCTTTTCTAGGGTTCATTTCATTAAAACAATTCAAAATTTAACAATAAAATCGTTCAGTAAATATTCCAAATCATCATATTCTGTACGTTGATTCACTGTGCATTCACAGAGTAGATGTATTTGCAAAAAGTATGTTTTAAATGGTGTATCGCATTTCAAAATACTCAAAATAGCATAAAATCCACTTTTTGTTTATAAATCTCAACAACAATGACCAAAGTAAATATTGATTCGTTTGCAGTTCAATGAAAACTTGAAAACTTATCTAAACACATTCTGTCCATATTTTCCAAAGATAACCAAGTTAAGAATGCAAATAATGTTTGTAGCATTTTTCACTCACATTCGGGTTGAATTCGGCACATAGCAAGAATGTGCTGAATCAAATTTCAAATCGTGTAAATGTCTTGTATACATATACTAGTAAGGTCCATATAGGAAGGAATTTATATTACTACGATGTAAATGATAGATACAGTTTTCAAAGTAACATTTGAAGTTGCAAAGCAACAGAGGGAATTTAGTCCTCCGAAGCGCAACAGTACATATCATTAGAATTTTCAGAATATTTTCACATACATTTTCGACAAACTGACTGATGTCAGCTATGAACACCTTTATATATAGATAGATAAAGATTCATTTATTGAACGAGATATCTCAACCACTTCAGTTTGCTATATTTGTCTAATTTTTACTGAATGAGAAAATCTCCTCTAAAATATTTGTTAGTTCTTGCATACCTTAATTGCTCCGTCAGTTCAACCTTCGACAAAATGTAGAGAAAAAAATCTCACCATCAGAAAAAATGCAAAAGTTTAAAAAACAATTTTAAATGTCAAATATCGCTACTTTTCTAACATTTTCAATAGGTTTTATGTATAATATATTCAAGTATGACCGGTGTGTGTATCGTAGTCGACTGTGTCATTGAGACATCAAAGAAGCAAAGCAAAGCGATAACTATTTACTGGGTGTGGTCTTTGTGCATGTGGATAAATTATCTGCATTCCTCTGTGGACTTGTCCACTTCGAGTGTGCATTTTTACGAGCGCTTTAGTTTTAATTGCGAGCAACATGTTTAGAGATGTGGAAAACTATCAAATTCAAATAAGCTGTGCAAACACATCAACATCGAAAATGGTTGTTTTAAAAAGTTTGCCGTTCGTAAAAGTTTGTGTTGCGCAAAGTAGTATCGAAAGTAGCATGAATCCGATTTAATGGCATTTTTGCGAAATTGAACGAGAGAAACGCAGCAAAATTACGATGCAAAATTGTTAAGCATACCATTATCATGTCATTACAAAGTAATGAGTCGAAGAAATGCTCGACAAATTAAAGACGATGGCAGAACTGAAAAGGAGCAAGAGCGACACCAGCAACACAGACAAAAGACGAAAAGACGAAGTGAAGAGGAAAACGAAACACGTGGATGCGTTTTCATGCGAATAAAATGTGTGTATATGTGGAGCAATCGTAAAACTTTACGTGACTCAACGTTATTAACCTCTTTTTAAAAGGTTTTCACTGT